AGTGAACCAGGTAGGCTTTCACAAAAATCAGTAATGGTTTCATGGATTTTATTAGACTCTTAATCCAGATTTTTATTTTTTATTGAATTTGAAGTCCACCATCTGCCATGGTGGGATTTGAACCTGAGTCCCGGGAACTTAACCCAAGTCTCTGAGTTGATGTTCCATTGATAATGGCCACATAAGTAGATATGGTGGTAACGAGACATGTGGCATGCTTGCCTTTATTGGTCAAAGCATTGAATACAAGAGTCAGGAAGTGATGTTACAGCTTTATAAAACTTCAGTTTTGCTGCGCTTAGAGTATTGCATTCAATTCTGGTTGCCATGTTACAGGAAGGTGTGGAGACTTTGGCGAGGATGCAGAAGAGGTTTACCAGGATGCTGCCTGCATCAAAGGGAATGAGTGTAAGGACAAATTAGGGTTAATTTCTTGGAGTAGCAGAGGCTGAGGGGGTACCTGATAGGAGTTTATAAAATTATGAGATGCATAGATAGGGTTGACAGTCAGAATCTTTTCCCCAGAGTTGATGCATTTAAAGTAAGAGGGGGAAAATTCAAAGGAGATGTGAGGAGTAAGTTTTTTTTTACACAGAGAATGGTAGGTGCCTGGAATGCATTGCCAGGGGTAGTGGTGGAGGCTGATATGATAGGGGTGTTTAAGAGACTTTTAGATAAGCACACGAATAAGCAAGGACTGGAGGGATACGGACCATGGGCAGGCAGAAGGGATTAGATTAATTTGGCATCCTGTTTGGCATAACATTGTGGGCCGAAGGGCCTGTTCCTGTGCTGTACTGTTCTATATTCTGTAATACCACTAGGCCATCCTCTCCCCTGGAAAAATTAAAATATGATCCTGTCTGGCACAGCAAAGCCATTGAAATTTACACCCCCAGCAGTATATTTGTGATTTCATTCACCATGATAATAGATTTGCCAGATCTCTCTCTGCTTGAGGCATATGGAAGCTCTTCCTGCAGTGGGATAAATGCCTAAACCCGATGCATGCTCTTCACACTGAGTGATCCCAAAGGAGCTGCAACTAGATGATCTTGTCAGCGTAGTGAACAGCCTACAGCCGTCTCCAACCAAATCACACCCATTGTCCGAATTGCTTAAAAATTCAAAGGATGTTCATTTCACAGGCAAGTTAGCAGCAACTTTCCGGTATGATCGGGGCATTCTATTAAGGTTTGTCACACCGGAACCATTGTGAGGCTTCTCACTGTAAAGGTGACTGAAAGATTGGCTTTGATCAGCTGTGCCATCATTTTATCAATTGTACAATGCACTTTGTGATAAATGTTCCAGAAAAGACATTACAACCAATTATGTTGATTATAGTCAACAGGATTTCCAAATAGCGACACAAACTGGCCAATGTATAGCAACTAAGAGTTTTAGTAAACAAGTAATGCACTCTTTTCACTTTGACTCCATTTCCCTGAATTAGCTCAGTCATCCGACTGTCGCTTTTGAAGGCATGGTCACTTAGGCTCTTGTTGACTGCAAGCTAAAAATTGAAGTTGTTGTTGCGGAGAGGTGAAGCATGGTCACAAGTCCATCAATCTGAGGGGTATTGTTACTTCTGTATTTGGAAACCATTTTGCGTCTGTGTGAAAGGGCAGGAGAATTGCAGCTTTCATTTCCTTTTCCACAATCCTATTATTAGTGTCAGTATTAAAATGTTTGAAACATTTTGCTTCCTGTTATGATTCCATGCAACTAGTCCAAATGATGTGAAAGACTGTTCTGTGGTTGGATGGCTTTAAAAACATTTTTTTCACTTTCATTTTTTGAGCAAGGGCCAACAGTGACAAATTGAACTTGTATGGTGCTTTTAGAATTGCCGAATAAAGAGGCATACAGACTTAAGAACGCCAAATTTCAAAGGGTACAGCAATGTACACTACATCAGAAAAGTGAGTAGCGATCGGCTAGTGTGGACTCTTAATTGGTTGAGGTGTTACTTTGGAGAATCCAACAGGGAATAGTTTTCCTTCAAGCTTTTGTTTAAATTTAAAAAAAAACAGGTTCTAATTGATTGAAGTGTTGTCCTAGCAAATGCACCAGAAACACTATCTTGAGCTTTTGATTAATTCAAAAAGGCGCAATTCCTTTAACCTGCTGAAAAGGCTCTGGAAATCTCTCTGTCTTCCTTTAAGACACTTCTCAAAGTCTACTTATTTGACTAAATCCGTTCTAATGTTTCATAATGTCATAGAATCGTACAGCACAGAAACAGACCATTCGGTCCAACCAGTCCATGCTGAACATAATCCCAAACTAAACTAGTCCCACCTGCCTGCTCCTGGCCCATATCCCTCAACTTTTCCTATTCATGTACTTATCCAAATGTCTTTTAAATATTGCAATTGTACCCAAATCCAGCGCTTCCTCAGGAAGTTCATTCCACATGCAAACCACCCTCTCTTTTTAAAAAAAAAAAAAAAAAAAAAAAATTTGCCCCTCATGTCTTTTTTAAATCTCTCTCCTGTCACCTTAAAAATGTGACCCCTCGTCTTGAAATTTCCCATCTTAGGGAAAAGACAACTACCATTAACTCTCTCTATACCTCTCATTATTTTATCAACTTTTATCAGGTCGCCTTTTAACCTCCTACAATCCAGTGGAAAAAGTCCCAGCCTATCCAGCCTTTCTTTATAACTCAACCTTCCATACTCAGCAATAACCTGGTAAATCTTGTTTGAACTGTCTCCAGTTTAATAATATCCTTTCTATAACTGGACGACCAGAACTGGACACAGTATTCCATTGGTCTATAGATGCGAGGCTGGAAAAGCACAGCAAGTCAGACAGCATCAGAGGAGCAGGAAAGTCAATGTTTCAGGACTGACGAGGGCTTTTGGCCCAAAACATTGACTTTCCTGGCCCTCTGATGATGTCTGACCTGCTGTGCTTTTCCAGCCTCACATCTATCGACTCTGGCTTCCAGCATCTGCAGTCCTTATTATCTCCATAGTATTCCAATGGCCTGTACAACTTTAATATGACTTCCTAACTCCTATACTCAAAGGACTGAGCAATGAAGGCAAATGTGCCAAGCACCTTTTTAACCACCCCGTCTGTATGTGACGCGTACTTCAAAATATTATGTACCTGCACCCCGGGTCCCTTGCATTTATCTAGATTGAACTCCATTTGCCATTTTTCAGCGCATTGACCCATTTGATCAAGATCCCTTTGTAATCTTAGAAAACCTCCTTCACTGTCTACTATTACCACCAATTTTGATTTCGTTTGCAAATTTATTAACCATGCCATCTATATTCTCACCCAAATCATTTATGTAAATCATAAACAAAAGAACTGATCCCTGTGGAACATCGCTCGTGACAGGCCTCCAGTCAGAAAAACAGCCCTCCACCACCACTCTGTGTCTCCTGCCGTTAAGTCAATTATGCATCCAATTGACAAGCTTGCCCTGAATCCCATGAGACCTGACTTTACTAATTAGTTTACCATGTGGGACCTTGTCAAAGGCTTTACTAAAATCCAAGTAAACAATGCGTACTGCTCTTCCCTCATCAAACGTTTTGATAACTTCCTCAAAAAAACTCAAATCAAGATTGTGAGACAAATGTGGCTTAATGTCAAGTATGATAAATTGACCACTGATTTTTCTGCCGCAAAAATCCATCATTTTTCATGTACCTTGTGCTAACTTTGGGAGTGGGGTAAGTGGGAGCAGTCCAGTAACTTTTTTTTCACAATTGATCTTTTCTCATTTAAATATCAGAAATATTGGTGGATAGCCAGGGACAGCTGATTCTAGCTCAATTCAGTACTATGGCCAATAACCACTGCCAGTATCATTATCAGCAGTTCAGCATTCCAAATTCTCCCCTACCACCAGTCCAGATTATTTCCATTCCAGAGTTTTAAAGAAAGTATCTGAGGATAATACAGATATCTTGGCTACAATCTCCCACTATTCCCTTGATTCAGAACCTATTGCTTTGATTAGAGAATTGCACATAACACTGCTGTTTAAGAAAGATAGGGTGCGGGGCCAATGTAGAGAACCAGACAATTACAGATCAGTTAACATTTGATGTCAGGACATTACTTGAGTCTATAATTAACGTTGGGTGGCCAAACACCTTGAAAACTTTTACCTAATTGATGAGCAGTGGTATGGATTTGTAAACATTGGGATTGCCTCATGAATCTGATTGAGCTTTGTGAAGTGGGAACTAAATTTAGTGGATAGAGAAATATCTGTGGATTTTGTAGTACCTCATAACTGACTGAGGTCAAGTTGAAATTTATGGAATTGAAAGTAATTGACCTGTTCTGGTAATTAGCAGAATGAAAGGAAGGAGGCAGAAGTCAGAATAATTGGGAGGTACGTTAATTGATGGCATGTGAGTAGTAGTATCTTGTAATGAATTGTGTTGGTTTACAATGTTTCTCTGCTGTTGGATTTCTCATTGGAAATCCATTTTTAATTAGAAAAATCTACAACCATCAAAGTTTTGGGAAAGTCGAAGCTATTATCTTTGGCCCTTGCCACTGGTTCCATCCTCCCCTAGTCAGTATCTTGAATCAGAATATTGGTAACTCCAATATGTTCAATTCTGAGTTGAAATTCTGGTCATATCCTCTAAGGCATCTAAGCAACTTTAACTAATGTTGCTTGCCTCCTACCCCAGTTTCAGAATATCTGTGACTGAAACTCATCCGTACCTCTCAGAAGGAGCAAGAGACCCTTGACACCGTATCACAGTCGACCTTAAATTCACAGTTTACTTTTCTGGAGGGGGAAGTCATGTGCTAAACTCAGAAAATCACAGCACAGCAAACTGCATCACTCTCAGGTGGAAGATGAAAACCAAAGAGGCTTAAAGGCAAAAGTGTTTGCTGCAATTAAGGCTTTGAAGGGTTTGATGATAGTTTGATCCTGATTCCTGTAATGATTCTAATCTCTGTGAATTAATACTGACTGTCAACTTAGCTTTTCTTCTTCCTCTCAGAACCTTGTCCATCTACTCTACTGCAACAACACATGGCAGACTTGCTTCGCTCTGATTCAGAAATGGCAGCCAGTTTCCTGAATAGTGTCCTCAACCAGCTGAACTGGGCCTTCTCAGAGTTCATTGGCATGATCCAGGAGGTAAGCACCCAGGCACCTTCACAGTAAACTCCAATCCTCTTGCCCATCCTACCCACCATCTTAGAGCAAAGAAGTGCACATAACTTTCTGCAACACCCTATAATCTTGCAAATGGTAAGCAGCTAATGGTTCCTTACTCAGTATATCATACCCCACCTCATTTGTTAACGTGCTCTTTTGAATCTCCAAGGTTTTTATAGCAGAAGGCTTGTTTCTTCAGCTAGGTTTTTGTTTCTGTGATGTTTCTTTCTGGAGAGGACACATCAAATCAGAAATTTTTCTCTTGCCCCTTGTCCACCGTTGCTATCCACCACCAAAGAATTGTTTCCACTTAAATGAAATCACTGCATTTGTCTCCTATGATATGGGATTCGGTGGACTCTGGTGTTTACCAAACGGGCTGTGGGAGTCGGCAGACTCTGGCATTTACCAAA